CTGCAGTTGGCCATGTTTATTTTGATTCTGCTCTTTTTTCCCTTTAAGAGAGTCAGGAAAAAAAAACTCTGAATGGCTTAGCACATGAAGAACGGAATTCTGATGATAAATCCTGAGCTTGTTTCAACACATCTTTACACACACACGCACAGCTGATGACCAACATCCAGCCTGTCCCGACAAATCGCGAACGTTTGAATTGACGACGATACATTCTCCGACACAGAACTCTCATGCTCCAGCACGGCTCAACGCCATTGGCCTTTTTATTGTGTAAACATCGTGGCTCTTTCAGGTAGTTTGTTTAGGACTGATTGGTTATTTACCAGGGTGAAAGAGAGGAGTGCTCTCTGACGCACGTTTTACAAACAAACCAGAGGAGGATTATGCAATTGAATGCTAAAAAGCCCTTTTGCAACAGGGCGGGGGATCTGACTTCCGGTACAAAGTAGGGCAAAACCATCAAGGACAGAGAAATAATGGCCTTTAATAATGGCATTCACACCGACGGGCATATTCCTTTCGAGTCAGGAATCTGAATCATCTGAGAAATCATACCAAACTGTCACTTGTTTTCCAGTGTTTTCATATAGGCCATAGTGAGTCAGAGAATTCCTGATATTGAGCAAAGGCGAGAGCTTCCTCAAATCTAATGAGTTTGTGAGCTTTACGCAACAACGCGAGTGATTCTGCGGTTCAGTTTCCACCTCAGAGAGGATTTGTCGCAATGGCCATTACGCCAAATGGAAGGAAGATGTTGTAATTGTTTAACAATGAAGATTTCACTTTTTAAAAAGGAGGGAAACGTGATAATGAGAAAAAGAAAAAAGCCTAATTCAGTTTTACTATCAAAACGCACCGAATGACTTTCACTTATAGCCCCTGTAAATGTGTGAGACAGCTCCAAAAAATGTTTAAGTGATTAAATGTGAGACATTATGAGCATTTCTGACTGTATTGCGTGCATTAGAAGTGTTCACCTCTGACCTGGTGTTCTTTTCAACTTCACGTTCAGAGGTCTCATTGTCTTGAAATGCCATCTGTGTGTAGAAATAATATAGTGGGGAGATGAACAAATAGAGCAGAACATGTGTTAAATGAAAGTCTTAACTTTTCAGAGTTGTGAATAGAAGATAGGTGTGTTTACTTGAATGATTGCATAAACTGAAATTATAATAATTCATTTCCTTACTCTGTATACCTCCTTAAAGATTAGATTCTCCTTTTTGTCAGAACCTTTTTTTAATATCAAAAATTGAAGTTCAAATTTATACACAGTGGGTTCTAAAGAGACCACAAGAATCTTTTTGCTAATTAAACATAAATGGTTTTAAAAGTTTTAGAATTTTAAATATAAAACTAAAAAAAAAGGAAATATTTGATTATGTATAAATGTACTATATGATTACTTCAGGTTAGCTAATTCTATTGATAACATGATCTTCATGTAAAATAAAAAGAGAAAAAAACAAATAGTAAAACACTCTGAAATTCAAGTGCATTTTTTACTTAAATTGTTAAACTGATCATTTAATTTGCTTTTTTTTTAAACAATGCAAAACAGAAGCATTTTCACTAATTAACCTTTTACACCCCACAAAATATATTAATATATTGCAGGTTCAGTAAATTGCACCAATTTTTATTTTTATTTTATTTTTTAATATTTATTTTATTTTATTTAGCCTGACAAATGATATACATTTTCTCAATTACCATATGACATTAAAACTGCATGCATAATTATACAAGAATTAAATTAGAATTGTTTTTGTACAAATAACTATGTAGTACACCAACACTGAAATCGTATTAAACAATTATGAAAGTACATCTTGATTATCAAGGAGATTTAAATTATATATTTATATATATTGTGGTTTGACTTAAAAAAATTAAGTAACCTTGTTGCCTTAAAATTGTAAGTTCATTGAAATGGAAAAATTGAGTTAATACAATGAATGAGATTGATTTAATCATCAGAAACTCAAAATATTATGTTATCTGAACCACATAAAATATTTTAAGTTGATTTGACAAAAAAAATGTGATTACAAATCATGAACATTGTATATATAATGTATTATGCATTTTTAAATGAAGTTTTCTAAATAAAATGCAGGTCTAAATAATTATTCTTACCTTAGTTATTCAGTACATTTATAAGTAACAGATTCAATTGGACTGAGTAATTGAGAACCAAGCACTTGGCTCTTAATCTGAGTGGGAGTTTGCAATCATCTAGCAATAACAAGACAAGAGTAGGGGATGAGTGGAGAAAAGGGGAGTGAATGTGAGAAGAGGTGAGGAAAACAAAAAGACGAGAGGGGCGTTCGGATAACGGTTTACCCGCCCTGACGTTCCACAGGGGGAAAATTGTGGAATTATGTCAGCAACATATGCAGTCTATAAAATGGCCTGATACTTGTCTTTTATTCCACAATAGCCCATCTGCACCAAACACCGGTCCAGAAGTCTAAGCCATGGGATAATGGAAAGAAAATAGCGGACATTCTTGTGGCAGCCCACAGAAACCCGGGCCGTGCAATAAAGACAGGCGAGATCACTAGTAAAGTGTACACGTTCAAACAGGGGAAAGATGCAGACAACTCAGCCACATGGGAGGGAGGGACGGACGTGGGGTCTGGCAGCCCTCCCTTATCATCTGTGAACTGACTGCACTCCAACTGCTGGCCGCAACTGATGTGGAGCATTGATAAATGGAAGTGATGTATCATTGCTAATCTGAGAAACATTTTCTTTATTAAGCCCATCAGACTTTTATCAATGTTTGTTTTTAATCTTAAAGGAAACAGGAGAAAAAAAGCCTGACCACAAGTGCAATTTGTAGCACGTGCATAATAGGAAAAACAAACATAGGATAACTTATCATATCAAGTCAAAATGTGACGTATGTGGAAACGTGAATGTATATATAAGATTTGTGTATTTGAATTGCATACAAATTTTCAGTTGTTTTGGATTGCACTGTCAACATAGTTAACAAACTAATGAACGTGATGCTTGTGAAACAATGTTTTTAAATGCACACTAACCAGATTTAGATTTTCTCCTCAATAAATCCAATTTGTTTCAATATCATACATTCTCACTAACTCAATACTGCTTGTTCCAAAGCTAGCCTACTTATAAACTGAATACATTGTTTTCTCATTTTAAAGGTTTCTGATGATCCAAAGCTATTTGAATAAATGCATTTTGAAAGTATGATTTAAAGATTTAAGTAAAATCAAATAGATGCAAATCATTAATAATAAACCATGCCATTTTTTTCTGTTTTTTTTGTTTGTTTGTTTTTACAAAAATCTCACCCATTTCATTTATAATATTATCACATTAAGTTTATTAAAACTCTGTCATTTGTTATGGTGTTTTTCTTATTTTATGTATTACTTATTACATATTTACTATAACTGAAGCAGATTGTTTAACCATCTAAAACGTGTATTAGGTTGATAATACATGTAATAATATAACATTTAGACAATACACAACTGACAAACAGTCTTGTTTTACTTCACTGGAAAATGTATTGATTACTTTGAATTCTCTCTCTGTCTCTACATACACACACACACACACACACACAAAGACACACTAAAAATGCAAAGTTAAGGTAAAAAATAACTTAAAAGTCTATATCAAGTTTAAACAGTGAGGTCATCTGTGACACCAACAAAGCTTCTGTGAAATTCACAACTTGATTTGTGTAGGAAACATCCAAATCACATTGGACGGCATGATCAATCGCTGATGACAGAGAATGTTCGGATTGCAATCTGGACAGTGTATGTGTGTGTTTCAGGGACTATGAGACAGCCTCCCCTGGGTTGAAATAATGTGTGGTTGTGTGTGTGTGTGTGTGTGGGGGGGGGGGTTAGTCCATGATTTATCAATGTGGGATTTTCAACCACATGAGCTCATTCTGTTTCCTCCACCCACTGCAATGCCACCGGAACACACACACATGCTGTCCGGCCCAAGGACAATTAGGTGAGGTCGTCGACAAGACAGACCTCAAACGATTCTTATGACTATACTTGGCATTAAAACAGACGCATTGATTGACTGGTTACATTCACATTTGGTCTTTCATGCATCACAAGATTTCAAGACAATTAAAAGTCCAGCCATTTATTCCCTAATTTGTTTTGAACTGTCTCGAGGGAAGGGAGTGTCCTGCTCTAGAAAGACATCAAGCGGCACAAACGCCTTTGTAATTCATAATTTATTGGCCTCATCATTAACAGAACTGAAAAACTATCCTATTCAGAACGGCAAAGAACCAGATTCTCTCGCTACTGGAGTGTGTTCTTACAAATATTTAGAGACAATGGTCTGCAGGTGACATCAGAATTTGACAAAGAACAGGAACTACAATTGAAAAATGAAGTCAATGTACAAACAGAGGTATCATTACTCAAGGCATTACAATATCTAACATAAACAATGAGCAATAAATATATATATATAAGGGCTGTCAAACTATTAATCGCGATTAATCGCATCCATAATAAATGTTTGCGTTTACATAATATATGATTATGATTATGATTATAATTGATATAGGTTTTGATTTAAAATTGATTTAATTAAAATTAAAAAGGCTATAGAAGTATTGTTCGTTGTTAGTTCATGATAACTCATTTAGTTATCTAATGTCCACAAATGAAACCTTAAAATGTAAATTGTTACCGAATAATGTTTTAAAGGGCTACATGATCTAAACAAGATTACAACCTAAAATTCAGATGGTCCAGATGATTCTAGCATACAGTATTTCTAACTAAACCCTCACCATAAAAAAAACCATCTTATATTTCTAGTGAGTGTTGCCGATGTTTGATGTCATTTAAGACATCCCCTTCCAGATCTTATCACCTTTTATCAATCAAAAATGTTGTAAATTATCTTGTTCTAGATAATTAAAAGAACTTTTCCTAAAATGATAATGCTAAGTTCATAAACCAAGCTGAAAACACACACAAAAAAAAGTTTAATTTGAACATTTTTAGCTGTGGTAGTATGTCACATAAATATAAAATATATTAAACAACACTATTAAGATTTACAATAAATACACTGTAAAGCAATTAAGACCTAATAAGCTCCAATACATGCAAATGAGCAGCTACTTCCAACGGGATTCGCCCCCAATTCATTTGCATACAGTGGCACAAAAAGAACGCCTACTAGAAACCTACAATCTTGCACAACAGTTCAACATACTCAAACAACATCAACACAGAGGCTATTGACAAATTTCCCTTTGTTTCATCCGGCAGCAAGTCAGACGTGGGATGTGTGTCATGTCATAGTCCTGGTGAATGAGAAAAAGAATCAATGAAAGCGCCTGTTTCATTCATCCCAATTCATATATAAAAGGAGCTTTTGTCTAAGTTTAAGCACAAACAGAAAAAAAAAAAAAAAATTTAGTTTAAAACAAATTGAGAGGAAAAGATGTCGGGATCTCGTGCCGAACATCAGTACTGCTTCACCTTTAACACATAATCAGGCACGTCTGCACACATTTACACCTGTCACATCACCCATATGAATTGTCTGTTTCTTTTCATGTGTCTCAAATGCGGTTTCACTGCCCTGAGCAGGTACAAATCTGACTCACAGCTCAAACCCACCCACAACCGTGAATGACACGCTCGATTACAATGCCGTTGTGAGCCGATTGAGGGGACAGGGAGGGGTGAGGTATCGGGAGTGTGTATTTGTGTGCACCTGGACAATAGTTTTCACGTTTACGACTGCAAGTGGATTTGGGATAGTTTAGTAAAGTTCATGTTAGACAAAAAAATTATTTTCCAAAACAGTGAGAGAGGGCTTCAGAATCTGGATTGTGGTAAATAGTGTGTTTGTGTGTGTGTGTGTGTGTGTGTGTACAGGTTAGCTAGCTACACTTGAGAAAATTGCAAAAGCCAAATGTCTTCATTTATATAGTGAAATATCATGACAAGCAACTAGTGAGGACATTTTACTCACTAGTAAGCATTTTTTATTTAAATCTAGTGTTTTTCACATTGTTGTTTAGGGTTAGATGATATAAAATATATTTTACTTGATATAAAAGTCAATAAAAGTCTATGCAATGTCTTCACTAATATAGTGAAACAAACATCAATTTGTGTGAGTGTGTGTGTGTGTGTGTGTGTGTGTGTGTGTGTGTGTGTGTGTGTGTGCCTAGCCTGAACAAATTTATATGAACGTATGCCAACAATTTAGGAAACTCACAAAAATTTTTTGTTTTGTTTTGTTTTGGGGGGGGGGGGGGGGGGGGATTACCTCAAAATAAAAAATAAATAAATAAATCTGACATTAAAAAAATTGTTTTTTTCCTTAATTTAAAAAAAAAATCCATTCTTTTTATTTAAGGTTTAGAGATTATTTAAAATGTGTCTAGTCATTTGAAACCAATTAAAAGTCTTTTATGGCGCATCCACATGAACAGTTAAACTAAAAGTTTACAAACAAATAGTTAATCATTTTTAAATGTTTTGTTCAAAAGTATATTAATCATATTATTTATGTTTTAATAATATTTCAATTTGAAGAATAAAATAAAATAAAACTTTTTATCAGGTAAACAACAAATCTAAGAAAAAAAAGCACCAAACATAAAACATTGAAGAAACTATAGTCTCCTATATCAAAGCAAGATAAACATAGTCATATTTTCCCTAACTGCAATTAATACATGAATACATTAAGTGGAAAAGGTATGCGCTATTAATTTTTTAAAGATTGTGAATAAACAGCTACCAAATCTATTGGAAGACGATATGAAATATAATATCACCACAATGACCCAACCCTGATATTTTTATTGTCATAGTTGGTTACAGCTACAGGGCACTTACTGCAATTTTATTTTAGAGTTTTTTTAATTTGTGAACACGTAAACACATTTTTCACTTTCTATAGCCGATATAAAACTTTATATAGAGAAATGCAGTGTACTTCCCTTTTTGATGGATGCCAGCTGTGTTATTTCAAATGGACTAATAGCCCTTTTCCTCACATCCTACAAAAAAAAAAAAAAAAAAAAAAAAAAAAAACATGTTTCAAATGCTGATAATGGCAAAATTACATTGTAGGAACACTCTGGCTATGTGGAGGAAAACTACCACACACACACACACACACACACTCTTTTATGAGAGATTGCCTAAATGATGGCTTACATTCAAGTGTAAATGGTGAAATACAATACCATGTTTTATAGTCAAATTTATTGATTTAATTGTGGTAATTTCCGAACGGACAATAAAAATGCAATGACAAAAGCCATTACTGACAGCAATAAGATCACAAAAATTACCACTACTGTTTTTTTTTTTTTTTTTAAATAGTACCATGATAATGCCATGTTTATTAAAGCACCAAGGTGTCATATAAACACTATGGTATGTGATATATATATATATATATATATATATATATGCTTATTTTATACTATTAGATCACACACACACACACACACACATATATTTTATTTTTAACACACATCACATGTGATTTAAAGATGAGTTAATATTTCTAAAATAGAAAGTAAGAGGAATAAGGAATGATATTTTTCAACTTGAATAAAAAATTGTGGTCTGTAGACCACTTCCAAGGTCCATAAAAGTGCTCGCTGGTTGAAGTTATAACAACTGACTTTCCTGCGAGGGGGTAGAGTACACGTGGTCCTGCCTCCCACTGAGAGACACAAAGGGAGATCGAATTGTGACTCACACCAGTCTCTGAGATACAAGACAAAACAGCCGTCAGAAACAAATCACGAGAACTTCATAAAGACCTTTATCACTGCGCTCGTCCAGTAAGTAACGGTATTTAGCAGCTTCGAATGGTCTTGCGATATAGGTCATCTGTCATTCATTTGAGACAAGTAAAAACTTACAGCTCCATAAATTTATATTGAACATTTTCATCACGGTTTTATGTATCCTTTCCATATTTCTGATGGACTGACAGCTCCATAAGGAAAGGGTGACTGCACAAGAGTTGGATTGATTTAACATCAGGTCCTCTTTAAATAGTTATACCCTTCACCCTCTGCTGGACAACAGAGAGAACTGAATGTGTGGTGTTCTTTATCATTTAATCAAAACTTCAGAAAACGTACAAATTTATCGTACAAAACAAATTTGGTTAAACACAGTAAATGATGATGAATGGGGAAAATGTTCAGGTTATATTTCACCTTAAAAAGGAGAAAAAATAAGACTTTATATTTTATATTAACAAAGTAGTCGTAGTTTTTTGTGAGATTATTTGTACAACATTCAAGCTAATTTTCCTCCTCATACTGAATATTGTGTAAAACAAATGAAAACCACCCCGTCCAGACCTTTAAAAAAACATCAGGAGTAAATAAGTTTAATACAACTAATGCCACCATACTTGTTTACATACAATTTAAATTATATCATTGTCATTTTTCTTTGTACATTGCTGCCGATATCAAACTTGTTTCATGGATTTTTTTTTAATGTTCATTAAACAAAAAATAAGATGAAAAAGTTCAATGTGACCACAAGTCACATTCAAATGTAAAATTATTATGATAATAAATTTGCAATGTAAGCATCAAAGGTTTTTAACGATCATGAAAATTACATTTCTTTATGTAAAGTGTAATCTGGATGACCCAGATTTTTCTGAGTTTTCTTAAGATTCACCTCGTCCTCGATATATCAGAATCTGCACTAAAACTGTATTTACTTCCAGCAATGTATGTGTTCACACTTAATTAACTACTATAGTGTTCAAAAGTATAGAGAGCGATGGGATATATCATATAAGCAGAGCGTATTATATAAATAGATATGAGCATTTGCTTTGTCACAAAAGACGAACAGGAAAACATGACAACAGCTTCACAGGCTAAAAAGAAAGAATTATTTCTTTAGATAAGAGAAATCCATGTTGAAAATCCAAAAATGCCTCCTCTAGTAGTTTCAGGCCACAACAGGTAACAAGTCTATTCATTTCTTAAACACAATGTGGAATAAAAACGTGTAGGTCTCACGTCTCAGATGACATCTGGACTATTTAGTAACAACGCAGGGCAAAAAAAACCTCACAGTGGTCTATGGCGCCATCTTCTGGACATTGTGTAGAGTCAAAACGTTCTATATCTTAAAATCTAATTTTGTTTATTTTCAGATTTAATATGTAATAAATACATAACCAGCAACTAATAATATATTTGTAATGTTAAATGAATTTAGAGGGAATTCATTTAAATGAATCAACAGTATAATAAATAATATAAACTATGCATTCATTTTTTATATACAAAACAAACACACATATTAATATTAATACATGTACATAACACAAAACATAATCCACCATTATCCATAAAATGAGTGCTAGATTATCGCAATTTTAAAATAAGTAGAAAAATCTTCAATACCGGACAACAACAAAACAAATGTCCAACAACAGTGTTGACGTAATGAATATCCCTAATGTGGATAGATAATAAATATAAAACTTTACCTCACAGTTAAAGTCTATGCATGACTAGCGTCATTTATCAGTTCCTAGCAAACCTCAATGAATCCGAAGGGGTCACTGGGTTCGTCAGTCTGTTACATAACCAACCACACGGTGTCGCTTCAGTTCTAGCAGATAACAAGAAACACAACATGCCAACCCGTAAAGTCACTAAACCTTCTCAGATTACATTTAGGACAGGAAAGTTCTTTTTCCAGAGGAAGTTTCTAGTACATTCTTTTCAGCACTTGAGTACAGAGACGGTGCCAACTGAAACAGCAACTGTAGCGTAGCGCGCGTGTGACGCAGAGGGATATTCACAGTTAGTGAGCCCTCCCTAAAACCCACCAGATGTTTGAAGCGTCTGTCTGTGGCCGTTCCAACACCTGTATGTCAGACAGAAGCTGAACGTAAACATTTTTGCGATAGAAGACGAAAAAAGCGGCGACGGAGTAACGCGAAGGGAAAAACACAAGGTCCTGAGTGAGAAGAGAACAACAACAACAACAACAACAACAAGACGTCAGCGAGAGGGGCGTGTCCTCAGCTAAACCGCTGGTCAACGGGTTCATTCACTCCAATAGCCTCGTAAAATGACAACCGACCCTAAACACTAATGCCATTCTGACAGACGCACACACACACAACAACGAAACGAAACGAAACATCACCCGTTATCGACTCTGCATTGACCCCAAGCATTGCTGTGAAACCATCACGCACGTGGATTCTCTTTCAGCCTGAACAACATAGACAGGCGCATATGCAACAAGGAGGAAGCAATGGGTTACACAATCACTTGCACAAGAAAAACACCTTTAGAAAGCCTTTAGGAGGATTGCAACCTGAAAATCATGCATGCAGCAGCTCTCATTAAATAAAATAAAACTATTATAAAACAAATAGACATGTTGCAGGTGGTTCTTACCAGACGAAGAAGCTGTGCACACCATCAGGTCAGAAAACACAAACTTTCTTCATATGTGAAGGGTACACCGACACATCTGAAGCAGGCAACTGCATGTGGGAGAGAGTGAAAGAGAAATGAGAACAGAGCAGAGAGGTACATGGGAAGAGAAAGAGAAGTGCGACACAGCAGAAAAGGGGAGAGGGAAATAGAGTGAGAGAGAGAGGTAGGTAGAGAGTGAGAGAGAGGAGCACCTCAGTGTGAGTTCTTGCTGGTGGTCGGAGCTGTAGGGTACCAGAGTTCAAAGCACTGAGAGAATAAGAGTGTTATTCTGCTACAGCCAGCCAAGTCTTACACAACACCAACCAGGGGCAGCAAGTTCCTTCTGCCTATCTCTCCCTCCCTCGCTCTCATTCACCAACTCGCTCACAGATTCCCTATTCTTTCCACTTCATCTATTTCTGTTTCACTTATGTGGTTGCTCTTTCCCGCAGCTTTTTCTTCATCCCTTCCCAACAAAAATGCGATTTCTTTTTTGTATCTGCAGATTAAATACATTACAAATTGTGTATAGGGATGGTTTGACCCCAAAATGAAAATTCTGTCATCGTTTGCTCCACCTCAAACCCCTGCATGCATTTCTTTCGTTTGCAAAACACACAAAAATGATATTTTGAAGAGCATTGGGAACCAAACAACATCAGAGCCCATTGACTTGAATCAGGAAATCAGTTGAAACTGGAATATCTTCAGTTTGACCAACTGGTAGCTGGTTATAACCAGCTTGAACCAACTAATGACCAGCAAGAGACCATCTTAAGCTAGAGTTCAAAATATAGGCTA